TTTCGCCTTCACGTTCTCGATCGTGTCACTTGCCTCCACCTCAGGGCAATCGTCTTGCCGGTCAGCGTCTTCACGAAGATCTGCATGCCGCCGCGCAGGCGCAGCACGAGGTGCAGCGTGGACTCCTTCTGGATGTTGTAGTCCGCCAGCGTGCGGCCCTCCTCCAGCTGCTTCCCCGCAAAGATCAGCCGCTGCTGGTCCGGTGGGATGCCCTCCTTGTCCTGGATCTTCGCCTTCACGTTCTCGATCGTGTCACTTGCCTCCACCTCGAGGGCAATCGTCTTGCCGGTCAGCGTCTTCACAAAGATCTGCATGGTGTTTGTTGGGCTTGTCTCTGTAGGAGTTGACTTGTAATCCTTCTTTTTCCTGTTCGCACCGCACTGCGAGATAGTTATATAAAGAGTGTGAGAGAGGACAGGGAAAAAGCAAGGCGCTTGAGTTTTGCTTAATGATTTTTTTTTGTTTGTCGCCCATCGGCGCTTGCCCACGTTCATCACTTATGTTACTTTTTATTTAGTTGGTCTGCCTCTCTCACACACACATACACTCGCGCGCGCGCTCTGTGCGTGCGTGCGTGCGTGCGTTGCTGCTGGGTTACTTTGCTTTTTCCGTCCTGCCGGCGGTAGCCGTCTGCGGGTTTTCAGGCGGCCCCTCCCTCCCTCCCTCCCTTTCCCGTGCCGGAGGAGAGAAGGGCGGGGCGGGGGTGCAACGCGGTGGCGCCTCTTTTCATTTTTTTTTGTGTTTTTTGCCGGTGTTGTTTTGTTTTCAGGCGAACAGTTTGGAGAACTTCTGCCGCTGCTCCTTCTGGAGGGCGGTGGCGCCGGCGGCGATGGCCTGCCGCACCCCGACGACGTCGCTGGCCGCTCCGCCGAGGCGCTCAAAGGCGTCGAGGGCCGCCGTCGCCGCCGCGTAGTCGCGGCTGCCGCAGAGCGCCACCGCCAGCCGATGGTGGGCCTTGAGGTTCGCGGCGTCGAGCTGCAGGGCGGCGCGCGCGTCGGCGGCGGCGGCGTCGTTCTTGCCGAGGCGGTGGAGGCAGAGGCTGCGGTTGAGCAGCGCGGAGAGCCGCAGGGCGGTGACGGCGGCCTCGTTCGGCAGCAGATCCCTGCGCCCCTCCGTCAGGTCGATGGCCTCCGCGTAGGCCTGTACTGCCGCCGCGAGGTCGCCGGCGGCGAAGAGGGCGTTGCCGTCCGCCTTCGCCTGCTGCGCCCGGGCGGCGTCGGCCTCGCTGATGCGCTTCGCGTCGTTCTCGCGCAGCAGCGCGGCGGACGCCATCTGCGCCCGGTTGGCGGTGTCGTAGCTCGTCGCGGGCGGCTCCCGCAGGAGGGTCTCGTAGTGGGCGAGGGTGCAGTCGACGCGGCCCCACGCGTCGAGGGCGGGGTCGTCGTGGCTGCAGAGCAGGAAGGCGTCGCCGCGGATGTCGCGCTGGACGAGGGTGCTGGCGCGGGCGTTGAGGGCGAGGTCCTTGAAGCGGCCGCTGTCGTCGATGTAGAGGGAGGTGCCGACGAAGCCGTTGCCGCGGCCCGGCATGAGCAGCGGGATGATCTCGAAGGAGGTCTGCTCCAAGTAGTCCGCGATGAGGGCGTGCTGCTGCGCGCTGCTGGGGGCCGCCGCCGCCGCCGCGGTCTCGCCGTGCTGCTCCCCCTCCTTCATCCTCGCCGCGAGGTGCCGCGCCATCTCGCGCCGCTGCTCCTCCGAGAGCAGCTGCCGCCGGAAGTACTGCTGAAGCGAGGCGCGGAACTCCTCGTCGCTGCCGCCGGGGAACGTCATCTCGCGCGGCGCCGCGGCGTCGTCGGCGGGGATCAGCACGTACCGGAAGGGGGCCAGCGTCAGGCCCTGCTGCTGCTCCTGCTGCTGCTCACTCATCGCGCCTGTGCGGGGTGTGTGTGTGTGTGTGTGTGTGCGTGTGCGCGCGTGCGGGGGACCACCTAGGCAGTTGCGGCGTTCCAACAAGAGAGACGAGGCAGAGCGGGGAGGCAGCAGCAGCATAAGAAGAAGAAGCGTGAGTGCGCGTGAAACAACAACAACAACAACAAGAGAAACAAAACAAAACAAAACAAAATCGGGCGAAGGAAGCGTAGAACGCCCTCCGTCGTAACGCGCCGCCGCGGTTCTCGGGTGTACGCGGCGTGCGCAGCCCCCTCCCCACGTAGACACACAGTGGCAAAAACAGAGCAAGAAAATAATAATAATAAACACAGACAAACGTGGCTTGGAATCTAGTCTACACACCCATCACACCTGACGGCGCCAGTCCCTCCCTTCCTCCCTCCCCGCAGAGGCCGCTGGGGCGTCACAGGGGCCCGCTGCTGGCGCAGGCGGGAAGCAGCAGCTGGGCGGCCAGCCGCAGCTCGCCCACGGACTGCATCTCCACCGCCGCCACCTGCTGCCCGCCGCGGCTGACGACCAGGCAACACTCCGCCGCGTGGACGTGGCCCCTGTGGATGGCGTTGCTGTAGTACGCCTGGAGACCGGTGACGACCTCGATCTCCGCCCGCCGCAGCGCCATCTGCGGGGCCCGCCTCTGGCGATCCAGCTTCCTCAGCGTAAGCAGCACGGCCTCGCCCTCACGCTGCAGGGCGAGTATCCGCTTTGCCGTTCCGCGGCGCGAGAAGTGGTGCTTCCAGACAAGAAAAGTTCCGACGTGGGGAGGCGCGGCGGCCGCGCGAGAGCCGAGGCTGACGTTCTCCCCCCAGCACGGCGGCGGCTCCACCTGCACAAGCAGCGACGGCTCGCACGACGCCTCCGACGCGGGAAGGCTCGTGTCGTGCGGGCTCGGCGCGGGCCCTGGCGCCGGCTGCGCCTCCCGCGGCGGGTCGCCCTTGGCAGCAGCCTTCGCTGCCCCCCGCGGGAGGTTAATCTCCGCGCTGCGGTCCGCCAGCGGCTGCCGCGGCGCGTGCGGCTCCGCCCCGGCGCCCCCTGCGGGTGTCTCAAGCGTCGGCGTCAAACGCTCCGGTGCGGCCAGACGCTCGCGCCCGACCTCCATCGCTGCGGCCGCCGCTGCTGCCGACGGCGACGGCGGCGGCTCCACCGCCTCTGCGGAGGCAGGCGGTTGGCGCGCCGGCGCCAAGTCCCTCTCCTCGTCGTGCCGCACTGAGAGGCGTCGGCTGGGGTCGGCGGAGGGACGGCGGCGCAGCAACGTCTCGCGCCGCAACCCCAGCAGCTCCGTCGCCGTCCTGAGCAGGTCGTGCTCCGCCTCGTACGCAGGCACGCCCTGCAGACTTTGAATGCGTCGCCTGTTTTTTTCCACCGCGGTCGCCGTGCTCTCCGTGCCGTGAGGCGTAACCGCCGGCGCCGCATCTGCCTCTCCCCATGGCATGGAAATCCGCTGCAGGTACCGGCGCCGCCGCCGCTCCTCCTCCTCCTGTCGCTGCTGCAGAAGACCCACGGCGACGAAGTCGCGGCGGTCGGGCACCACGAAGGCGGCGCGAGCCGGCAGCGGTGACGCGGACACCGGGGAGGGCGCAGACCACACCTCCCGCAGAGCCGGCCACTGCTGCTGCTGCTGCTGCTTGCCCCTGCACCCCGCCGGGGCGGAGACGCCGTCGTCGGAGCTGGTGGACTGCGGCGACGCCGGGGCCTCGCGCCGCGGGACGGCGCACGGCAGCGTAGGGCGGCGCGACGCGGTGGAGCGTGTCGTGCAGGGCGACGTCGGGACCTCAATGACGTCCTCCTCCTCCTCCTCCGTATCGATGTTCACGAAGATGGTGCGGCGGGGCTGCGTCACCGAGCGGCGGCGCGGGGAGCGGGGTGTTGCGTGGGCGACGTGCGCCGCTAAGACATCATCTTTGTCGCCCTCCTCCTCCTCGTGGCTCCCCGCCTCGCTGCTGGCGCTGCCTGCCCGGGGGCCGGCGCTGAGGAGCCGCAGCGGTGGCGGCGGTGGCGGCGGAAGTTCCCCCTCGCTGGACGACGCGTCGCGGCGGGGCGTGGGGCTCAGCGTGAGAGCCACCTCCACCGTGTGCAGCTGGGGCGGGGCGTAGCGCAACTCCACCGCGGCGATGCGGTGCGTGTCCGAGGCGTCGCAGCAGCCGCGGAAGCGCAGCGTCAGAAAGACACGGGCGCCGGCGCCGGGCGCGGCCCCGAGCAGGGCGGCGATGTGGTAGAGGGTGCGCACGGCGATGGTGGTCTCCGCCCCGGCGGGGTGCAGGGGCCACGCCCTCACGACGACGTCCTGCAGCGCCAGGGCGTCCAGCCGCTGCGCGCTCGTGGCGAGGCTGATGACGCACGCGGTGGGAAACGCCCGGCCCGGGCAGGCGGGGCGCACCCGCAGCCAGAGCAGCGCCGGGGAGCACGGGCCGAAGTCGTCCCCCGTCGCCAACTCGCACGTCGCCACCGTGTCCCGCGTGCTCACCGCGGTGTTGCACCACGCACCGACAGCCGCGCCGCCGCCGGGGGCGGGGAGGAACGCGTTGCCCGGTTCCACGCCGGTGGCACGGAGAAGGCGCTTGAACGCCTGCACGAGCCCGCCGGCATCCGCCACCATCGACAGCCACACACACACACACACAATTTCTCTCTCTCCAGACCCAAACCTCCCTCTCTCTATCTCTAGGCCTTCCTATATATATATATATATATATATAT